CAATCATTGTTAATAAAGTGTGCAGTTAGGGTCATGTAGCTAAGATTCTGAATGGATGTCCAACAATCAGTGGTTAAGGCTACCCTATTGCAATCAGATTTGAAATAACCTTTTAATCTTACTTTTTCATCAACAAAAAGTTGAAAACAGTCCCTCGCCACAGTCCTCCTCGATGGAATAGTTAATTGGGGTTGTAATTGTTTGCATAGCAACTTAAATCCCTCCCCTTCAACTACTCTAAAAGAATGTTCATCTAGGATCACGAATAGAGCAATAGCTTTTCTACAAGCTGCAAGATTAAATCGTTGGCTTGCAGCAACCAAGCCACCACCCTCTCCACTAGCAAAGGAAAGGGCAGTTTGAGTAGGATCATTTTGTGGCCTCTTGGTGCATATTTTTGTGTGAGCAAGCATGTTAGATGTCCCATGGGATTTTGGATCACACAAATACTTTTTATGACAGTGTTTACAAGCAGCTACTGGTTCAGTTTCATTAGGTAATTTAATAAAGTGGTCCCATGCGGGAGACGATTTCCTAGGACCATTAGCATTTGGTTTTCTTTTCTTTCCAAGTGGAGGAAGCCCAACAACGTGAATTTCAGTTGCAGCAACATCAGTTGCAACAACACCAGATGTTAATGTAGAAGGCTGGTGTTGAGTAACATTCTCCATTGCTGAAAATTAATGAAGATTATAATCAACACACAACCAACATTATTAACTCATTATGTGTTTAGATGCTTAGTGAAAATAAGTTTTTGGTTGTTGTGGTATATTACACTCTTATGACTTAAGTTCTAAGTACATTTGCTTACATAGTTTTTGGTTGTTGTGGTATATTACACTCATTAATGATAATTTTTAAATTACATTTCCCTTTTAAATAGTTGTTCTGCAGTTTTTATGTGAGATATGTTCAGCTTTTGCACTCTTATGACTTAAGTTCTAAGTACATTCGCTTACAAAATCAATAACTTATTGCATTCTGCAGTTCTAAGTACACTCTTAATGCAATAATTTAGTTTCTACTTTAGTTTCTAAACCCAAAGCTCTTAAATTTCTAAACCCGAACTGTTTCTAAACATACATAAAATTCAAATCCAATTTCTAAGCAAAACTGTTATTAACATGTATTACCTGTAGCAGCAGTATGAAACATTTCTTCATTAAGACTTAGTTAATCATAAACTTGTAATATTTTATATCAATATACATACAATCACAAGTATAAGAGGGAATTATTCCTTGGATAGAAACAACTACCAGTATCAAATCCAATAATCCATTTTACATCAAACCTTTTCTAATCCATGGGAAACATGTTAAGAATAGCAACAGAATCATGACTTGTACAATTTTCTCAACAAATTAAAACTACAGCTTAATGACCTTGGATAGAATCCACCCGCCTATACAATAGCAATGCACGTAACTGAATAGGTTCTACGGGATCAAATCACAAACAACAACAAGCACCATGAAATCGAACCGAAACAAGGTGACTACAAGCATTAACGACAAAACTGTGGTTCACCAAAATTGCCACAGATTTGACAAAAAAAATGGCAACAACTTCAGTTGGATAACACAGTAGCTACAATGTCTCATATAACCAATCCGGCAGGAAACAGAAACAAAGCTTGTCACAAACGTAGTCGAAATAGTCATAACCATAACATCATTAAGTAGAAACATATTTAGAAAATAAAATGCAATGCATTCAAGCTCTGCATCACAACAGTAGCAATCCTGTATTTGTGACACATCCATGGAAACACAGGGTGGAATTGCAATATTATTTAATAAGCTATGTCAATACAATCCCAGCAAAAGAAACAAATATTCAACACAAGATAGAATAAGTAATACACACCGATGTTAAGATGAAATAACAATTCAAAGCTGCAACATTCATCTTATGCCGAAACACAATCAAAATTTATGATAATACAAAGACAAAACTCAAACAAACTCATAGTTTAAGACAATACCAAACAATGTTGAAGTGGTCGCCATTACCGCAAATGTCGCTACTGCTGCCTGAGTTTGCTGTGTATATTCCTTGGAATTGAGTTGCAGAGTTAGAATTGAACTGAACTCATCAGCAACATTTTCTCTACAATAGAAAACACAAAAAATGGGTAATCTTATGTTCTTCACTAAAGTTCAAAACAAAAACTGAAAAATGGGTAATCTTATGTTCTAGTAAAGTTCATAACGAAAACGAAAAACGCGAATACTGTAAATGAAACGAAAGTTGTACTTACATTGGAAAATGGAGAACAGTCGAATGAACTAGACGAATAACATATTAAGACTAGAATGGAACGAATAGAGACGGCGGCGCAAATTGAAAGGTTCGTTTTTAGGGTTCAGATCAGTCAAGTAGTGAAGATTCTTGAAGCTATTTACTGTTCACTCTGTGTGAAGAATGAATCTCTGTGCAAAATGGAACGGAAAGTTTATATTTAGGGTTTGTATTGTGAAGATTGAAGAAAAGAGAAACAACAAAGTTTTGGAAAGATAGGGTTCAATTGAAATGAAATGAGAATGGAGAGTAAAAACGCTGCGTTGAACACTTACAGTCGGGTGGATATGGTTACCGACGGTTTCAATTTGCCGGACCCGCCCAGTAGAGCCCATACGAAACCGTATTTTGGACCCGCCAAACCGCCAAACCGTGTGCATCCGGCCCAATTCATTTTTTTAGTATCGGTTGATGCGGGTTGGACCGGTTATCGGTTCCTTGTCCAGCCCTACCCTTTGGTTTTTTTAGATATCATGCGTTTTATTTAAAATACTTCGGAGATATATTTCCAAACATATATTTTTTCAGTTTTTTTTATAATTAATTTCATAAATGTATCTACAAAATATTTTCGTATGAGTATTAACGGAAGAAAATCAGAAATAAAATATCAGAAAATCAACATTACAACGATAAAATTAACATTCATAAAATAAAATCGACGTTACATTGATGTTAAGAATGTAAGGTTTTTTAGGTTGGTGAAGGTGAGTGTGGATTGGTGTTAAGAATGTAGGGTTTTTTAAGTTGGTGAAAGTGAGTGTGGTAGAAGAAAACACAACGGGAAGGAGTGGTCATGCATATTTTAAATATAGCAAAAACTTCTGAAACTGTATTTATGAAACAATCCTTAGATGTTCGAAAGATGTATTTACAAAAATTTTCCTAAACCGTATTATTTTGAAAAAAATTGCACTGTTACCAGTTAAAATTATTCTTCCAAAAATGTATTTATGAAACAATTTTTAGACGTTTGAAAGATGTATCTACAAAAATTTTCCTGAACCATATTATTTTGAAATTTTTCAGTGTTACCAATTAAAATTATTCTGTAAATCTAACTCTAGAAAAAACCAAATTTTAACCAAAAAAGAAAAACATTTAGATATGCATTTCTGAAAGTAAAAAACATAAAAGAAAATGTGTAAAAGAAAATGTGTTAAGTATCTAAGTGTATTGAATGATGGATTAAGAAATTCTTTTCAAGAATTCACCAGCAGTTGGATAGCTGGATTGAGTTGAATGAGACATTAAATGGTTCCATAATCCAGCTTTAGACTGTCCGACTCAGACATGTTTGAGAGTGTATTTATGACTAATTAAGATATTGGATACTAATCTAGTAATCTAGGTAATCAAACTTAATTTTCAACCATCATCCTTAGGAAAACGAGTTGGATCCTCTCCATTTCTTTATCCCTCCATTTTCTCCATTACTATAAAATTAATTAAATATTAATTATATGTCACATGTCTTAAAAATGTGTGTTATTTACACACAAAACTATAATAATAAAAAAAATGGAGGGACAAATAAATGGAGAGAATCCCAACCCTAGGAAAACAATCATTCAGAATCGTCTGCAACTTTTATTTGCTTAGTCACCAGTAAAATTAACTATTAATGTATTTTACGTGTACAAAATAGTTTTATTTATTTCTATTGAAAATGATGTTTCAAAGAATATAACAAGTATAATAATTATAAGCAGCAGTGCATTCTAAGTTCAAATAGAGCACCTAAAAGCTCATTAACGGGTTTGTTTTGGTTATCCTCAAGCGGTAGCAAGATGATGGAAGATTGGAGAAGATGGTGGAGTATTACACGGCAAATGTTAGGTGGTTCAGAGAGAACAAACTGATATACTATCATACAACTCTAAGATTTAACCATTCAAAAATTAGATACTTAGGTAGTTCATAGTATAGCCCTCACCCAAAAATTGAAAATAAGGACAATGTGTTATGGTTTTAAAGGAGACCAAATTGTTGTTGTATTTTTAGAATATCCGACAAATTGAAACGCTTAGGTACAATTATATTTTTTGACCTAAAACTAATAATTTGTATGATAATCCTAAAAGCTCCCTACAAAATGGGTATATTTAGAGTAATTGAAGTTATATGTAATGCCAACTTATTTCCATGCCCTCTATTATAGGGTAATACTCGTGACCATCTAACCCTAATCCTTTCATTTATACTCCTCTCCCCTTGGAAGTATTAACTCGGTTATAGAACAACAAATAAAATCATGCATGCAATGCCAACCTCTTTTTAGAAAAGTTTTATCAACCCTTATAATCCTGGACCGTAGTCCGTAAAGTTATGTTAAATAAAATTATGCAAGACTCAAAAAATTGCATGCAATGTTAACAACTTAACATTATACAAGAGGCAACACTAAAAAAATGTGAGAATTGCCACTGAATTTGGGGTGTGGTAATTATGAGTATATGCTCTGTCATAGTCATAACTCAGCTTTCACGACTAACTAGTAAAATCAATCTGCCGCAATATGTAAAATTAAAGAGAAGAGGGGCAATGGATGTATAATAAAATATCCTTAAAACTTCATCAAAACATGAACAGGAACCGGGGTATTGTTCAAGTACATGTAGAAAAGTATAGTCATATTTTCTACAGGGCTAAGAGAAAAAAAAACATGATACAGTCGTACTCAAAGCTCCTCATCATATGCCTCCACTGGTTGCTGTCCTGATTATCTGAAAGAGAGCTGTGCAATAAAAACATGCAAACATGTTAATGAAACTATAAAGCATAGCCCATGAATATGCTAATAGAAGAGAAGTAAACATATAATCCTAATCTTTAAGAAAGTACTTCAAACCTATGCTCAAGCAGCACTAATTCCCCTTTGGGATATGCTAAATCCCAAATTGAATTCCACTTGTATAATACTCTTTTCCCATCTTCATTCTAATCTTCAATATAAGATTAAATAAAATATTGGTTGTAGATAATAGTGACAATAGGACATACCGTCCCATTTAGGTCCACCTTGCAAAAATCCAAAAAAAAAAAAAAAAGTTCGGGCATCGCTAAAGGCCTAAAACCTTTGCACTCCCTGCCAAAAAAACGAGAGCAGGAATAGGTGAAGGCCGAAAACCTTGGCCCTCCGGGTGTGGGTCTAAAACTTTGATCTGCCAAAAAAACGTGGACGGAAACGGGTCGGACTCATTTTGTTGCTACCCTTAGTAGTAGATGCATATTTGATTCAACAACAATAATTGTAATCCAAATGATTTTCACTCATTTTGGTAAAGGGAATTGGAAAATACTCCGCATAATTCAATTCAGATACATCATTCTGTTATGATATTCTTGTTAACCATTAATGTGTTAACCATTAATACTTGATTAGTCTAATATTAATGGTAGACAATTCTGCAATAAAATAACGTTCACAACAACATTTCAAAAACCTAAGGACATCAAACCAAACGGACAAGACTGCAATAGAATTCCTCAAATAACCAAACAAAAAATAATCCACATAAACAAAAAGAAAATTACACAATTCTGCACAAGACTTATGAATATGACTATGAAATAAAGAAAACAAAAATCAGTAAAACACATATCAAGAATGACATTGAAGGGATAATCTTACATGATCCAATGACAACAAAGACAAAGAAACCGAGCACCAAAGGACCAACAGGGTAGTCTTTGCCTTTCTTAACAGTTGTTTCTGGCACAAATCCTCTTTTTGTAATGTTTTTCTCAAACTTCTCCACCTTCCTAACCGAGAGGCGCCTTGATTTAGTCTGCACAAAACAGCAAAATTCCACATCTCATTCGCAATCAACACATCAAACCCAAATCCAACCAAAACTTAACTAATACAAATTACATGCATCCGATCAAATCAAATTTCGTCAGATCCATAAACTTAAATCAAGGTACAACACATTAATCCATAAGCAACCAAAAAACTTCAATCCACCGTAAAAATACTGAAATCCGTAACCTAATTTCAATGGTAGAATTAAAAAAAAAATTGGCCTAATTTCAAAAAGTTCCTGATTTAAATTACGCATGCTGGAAACAACAATTCAGATTCATTTCACAAAAATTTAACTGCAGCAAAACAAAACAAAAAACTAAACCAACTAATAGATCTAAACGGAGAAAATAAAAGTCAATGAAGGTGAATAGTGCGGGAGGAAGAAGACGAACCATGTTTGATTGCTAAGATAATGTGACGGCGGTGAAAAACGAAGAGATCGCCGGAAAATTGTAAGACGGTGATGGTACCGGCAGTGGCTCTCTCCGAGTTTTTATTTAGAGCTTTGAGAATTTGCGATCTGTGTGAATGATGAATGTTGATGGCGGTTATTTATTTTCCAATTATTTATTTATTTAATTAGTTGAAAATATACCTAACTCCGTTGAAGGTAGTAATGGATACCCGAGAATAACGTCACGGGTTCTTCGCGATTGGCTGAAGACGTTAATTGTGTACACGTGGCGTTTGGATATTGGGTGAGATTTTGTTTAATACGTGAATGAATGAGGTGTCTACAGGTTTAGCCTCCGTAAATGGATGGCTTTTTTGAGTATAAAAAAAAAATAGTTTTCTTTTTTTTACTTTGATAAATACAGTAATTGTTGGGTGAATTAATTATTTTAACTTTTAGGAGAAGTGTGTAGATAAGTGTCTTTGAACGATGAGTTGTCGTTGTAGGAAAAGTCATTTTCATAGTGATAGCAAGTACTACATCCATATAATAACAAGTGTTTTATTTAAACTATGGGCAGATATATATATATATATATATATATATATATATATATATATATATATATATATATATATATATATATATATATATATATATATATATATATATATATATATATATATATATATATATATATATATATATATATATATATATATATATATATATATATATATATATATCGAATTTAATAATGAAATAATGTTTTTGATTAAAATATATAAAATATATTTATTAATAAAATTAGTTGAATAGTCGAATAAAGTGAAATTTTTATTTTCGTTTTTTAATATAATTCGTTTTGAATTTTGTACATAATGTGATTATTGTTGTATAAGAAATGAAAAGATAAATTTAAATATTAAAAGAAGATGGAATAGTGAATACTTAAGGTATAATTAAAAAACTTTAATAATTTTTTAAATTGTAAAACAACTTATATTTTGGAACAAATCTTTTCTTCAAAATTTATAAAAAAATCGAAGGAAAAATGAAGAAATAATAAACGTAAAGACATTTATTTTGAGAAAGAGAAAAAAAAGAAAATAAAATGCGTTTTATGACACGGATAAAAAAATATTAGTTTTGTGGATTTCTTTTAATCCAATACCATATATGAGAAAATAGAAAATACACGGAGGTTGTAAAATAATTTTACACTATCATTCAATAAATAACGCGCATTCTCCAAATCATTTTGATATTTTAAAACAACTTAAATAAATAACGCACATTCTCCAAATCATTTTGATATTTTAAAACAACTTAAATGATTTGGCAGATTAATAGTTTTTTATTGAACCATCATGCAAAATTTCTTTTCACAACACTGCATGCCTATTAAACTCATATCATATTCCTCAATTTTATCCCTTTAATATCAAACTTTCTTTCATATATTTCAAACTACACATATTTTAAACAAACAAAAATTCACAAAAACTACATGTCAAATCAATGCGCCTAAGCTTCACATTTTAAAGAAGACACGGTAAAGCAATTGATATCTCCTTCTATCTTTAAATAATTTTATTGTATAAATTAAAATGTTAAAATTACAATAGGAGTATGTGCCAAATGAATTGGCACTTCCTTTGAACCTCAAATAGGTCACGCCAATTAAATTGGTGCATCCTTATCACGCAGAATGCATGTACCAATTGAACGTATTTGGCATGTGAATATAAAGTGGGCGCGTCAATTAGATTATCGTGTTGTCTATGACTTTGATTTTTTTTTAAACGTGGATAGTTTGAAATAAATGGGAGAAAATTAATTATTTTGGAATTTGATTTTAAAAATATGGATATTGGGGATAAAAAAACTCGTTTTGGTTTTTTTATTTATTTAAACTTTATATAATTTATTTATATATATATATATATATATATATATATATATATATATATATATATATATATATATATATATATATATATATATATATATATATATATATATATATATATATATATATATATATATATATATATATATATATATATATATATATATATATATATATATATATATATATATATATATATATATATATATATATATATATATATAAACTAATCGGGGTTCCAACATAGCTAAAACAAATGCATTTTAGTCATAATTTAGTAGTAATCATTCTCAAAGACTCGTTAAGTTGTTTTGAAAGGATTACAATTCCATTATGCGATTGCATTAGAATTATTGGTCAACATATTTGCGTTAAGTGGATGAATCGAGGTGATATCAACACCTTCTTTTTTCACTTATTTACTCTTAAAAGACGCCATGTATAATAACAACCATGCAACAAACTTGTATTCTCTAAGTTTGTTTTACAAAATATGGTTAATACCATCTCTTAAGTTTGCAAGTGAATGGAATGAAGGTCGAGCTTGGAAACTAGCAGCTAAAAAGGTTTTTCAATGGTTCAGTGAGCAGATAAGCTAGTTGAGCAACATTGGTATTAGGTAATAAATGAAATAGATCAGCTTGTAATTTTTCATGAATCACATGACAATTGATCTCGACATATTTAGTACATTCAAGAAAAATAGCATTGACATCAATGTGGCGCGAAAACTATCTATCACATTAGAAGAGTGATGGAGAAATACATGGAACTTGGAGACCATTTAGAAGGAATAACAACCATTGAAGTTCACAAACTATGGAAGTAAGGGTACAATATTGCACTTCAGAAGATGAATGAGAAATAATTGTTTTCTTCTCCGAGTACCAAGAAATAAGATGATACAAAACTCAAATACTGATTTTCTGCTAATGTTACAAGGGCCCAGTCAGAGTCACTGAAAGCATTTAATTGCAAGGTATAAGATGAGGGATAAAGTAGTCCTTGAGTAGGAGTCTGTTTATATAGCATAAAATTCTATGAGTTGCTTGAAGATAAGCCAAATTAAGGGAGATCTTGTACTAACTAAGTTATTGTACATCATAACTTATACCAGGTTTGATTGTTCTTAATTTAATAAAGTAGTCTACTAATGGTACGCCTGTAACTAGTAACATCTGTAGGTGTGGAAGAACCAGTAAAGTGTCATTTTGGATTTTTAATCATGGGAGTAAGGGCTGGATTAGCAATAAGTAATCCACATTCAGCAAAAGAATCTAAAGAGTACTTTATTTGACAGAAAAAGTTCGTGTTGGTTTTGGTTACCTAAATACCAAGGAAGAAACGAAGATTACAAAGATCTTTAATGTGGAAGGTATTATTAAATTGAGATTTCAAAACTTGAAACTCTTAAAGGTCATTGTGTGTTAGAATCAAATCGTCAACATTGATAAAATTGCAATAAAATTTTTATTTTCTAATTTTGTAAACAATGAGTGATCTGATGATGATTATTGGAATTTTGAATTAAGAAAAAGCATAGAAAAATTAGTCAACCATTGTCTACTAGATTTCTTGAGGTCATATAGTGACTTGTGTAATTTGGAAACAAGGTTTGGCGTAGTGTGTGACATGCCTGATGGTGTGTATATATATATATATATATATATATATATATATATATATATATATATATATATATATATATATATATATATATATATATATATATATATATATATATATATATATATATATATATATATATATATATATATATATATATATATATATATATATATATATATATATATATATATATATATATATATGTATGTATCTGTATCCAAGTCCCCGTGAAGAAAGAAATTGTTAATATTAAGTTTATAGATGTGCCACTATTGCACATAAGCAATTTTCAAAAAAAGTCTGATTGTAATTGTGATACCTAAATTTTGTCCTACCATCTATTTACCCTTTAAATTATTTTACATTTGCATCATTTGCATTTTTAGGCCTAAATCTATTTGGAGCTTAAGAACCATTTGATCAAGGTTCCATTTGCATTATATTTTTGTTATAACATCCATTGCTTACATTTTTAGGATTACCTTTGGTTCAGTTTTATACATCTTTGTGTTTGGTCATGATTCTTTTAACCACTATTTGAGTGACCATGTTCATTTTTAGATCATTTCATTGTATTTTCCATTATTGGGTTAAGCCATTGCATATTTTCATTACATTTTAATCATAATAGTGGAAATTAAATTTTGAAAAACCATTTGAAAGTCAAACACATTCAAGTTGCATTATTTTAATATATTACATGTTTATATCTTTTTTAATGTCATAAGTGAGTAGAGTTTGAAATAAAGTAAAAAGAATGAGTGTTTTTATTTATTACATACATTACATGATATAAGTAACTTGCATTACTTTACATTGCCAATATGTTATACATTAATAATACAAAAAAGAGAGAAAATTAAAAATACAACAAAAAATTAAAGAAAAAAGGAGGAACTAAGTCCAAGTTTGTGGGTGCCCACACAGGTTTTGCAGCATCACCACCCTCTTTGTACCATTTATCATGCCATGACACTACCACACATCATCTTGCATACCAAACAACAACACAAATCAAAATGATAAAAAAAAGTTCACAACACTAACATTAGCAACATAACCTCATCCATACATGTCATTAACACAACACTAACATCATCCAATTTTAATTGAATTGGAAAAAAATTAAATTTCAAACAAGTAGCTAGAACCAACTGAGCAGCAGCAACGCGTGACTCCATCATCTTGTCAACCTAGCATCAAATAATACACATACATATTAATTTGCAACGAATTAAAGTAAAAATAATAAAACAAATTATCAAAGCTGCAACAAACTCGTGACTCTCAATTAACCATACATCACCATCCTGCATACCATCAAACAAACACAAATTCTAACAAATTCCTCACTCACAATTCATTTCAACCATTCTTTCAATCAAGTTCACATGGATTTCTCATTCCCCCCTCCAATTTTCTCACCACCAAATTTCATTTCCTCACTATAAAATAGCCTC